TTTTTCCCTTAATTGTTTCTCATTTATAATCTATATATATAGATGTTAAGTACTTATTAATTATAATTAAATAAATATTAAAATTAAAAAAATAAAAATGAATGAAACTTTCCCTCTCTTTTTTTTTTATTACTTTGATTAATGATTTTTATTTTAATACCTGAAAATAATTCAAAATTTTAGTTTTAATTACTAAGATTTTGATTTTTTTTACTAATACGATTCATGTAATTAATCAAAATATTTTAATCATTATTTATTTACCAAAGTGAAATATTTCAATTGCTAAATTTTTAATTGTATTAATCAAAGAAAAAAATATTTTAAATATCAAGTAATTTAGAATTGAACAAAACATGTTCATATCTAATAATAAACTACGTAGTGAGAAAAATAGAGAGAGTTTTGATTATCATTTTTTAATTTTATAGTAATTTATTTAATTAATGTTAATTGATAAAAATTTAATATTTGAACTATTACATCATAAAAAAAGTATTATAAACATTATAAAAATTCTTGATATACTTATAATGTATTTTGTTAAAGTGTTTTTATTTATATAAGATTTAAAATTATATAACATTACCTCATAAAGGGGAGAAAAGAGAATTTTTCTATGCTCAACTTTGTATGTATTTAAATTTAAGTATTCTTTTGTTGATATTATTGTTTTTTCATACTTAACTCCCTCCACATAAATAACTTTAATATTGTTAGAAAAATAAAGCTTCATACTTTAATTTTACAAATATTATATAGTCACTATTTGAATTTTGTAAAATGGTATTAATAAAATTTTAAAAAATAATACAAAAAAGTGAGGTTATTGTCACACCTAAATAGTTAATATCATATTATTTTAATATAATTATCTATTTTATCCTTACATTATGTTTTTTCTCAAATTCTACATTTTTTTGTTTCTTATTAATTATTATTAGTTATTAATTACTTAAAAAAGGGAAATGGAAACGTTGCAAGAAATGGCTAGAGAAAAAAAAAAAAGAAAAACCTGACGTTCCAAGTGCTCATGGAAAGAAAAGTACAACAAAAAAATTTACTGCACAATTTTTAATAATATATTG